AACGCCCCAGCCCTCCCGCCTCGCCGGCCGGGGCTACAGTGGAGGGGGGTTGGCTTCTCCCAGTGGGTTTGAAGCCCAGCACCTCCTGGCCACCAGCACCCTCATGAGCTGGGAAACCCCCGGTACACCCCCCGACACCCCAGCACCAAAATGGCACCAGAGTCACTCTACCACCCCACGCTCCTCCCCTGCCCAGGGGGAGGTTTGACCCCAGCTAAAATTTAACTAAATCCCACCCAGCGCCTCCCCGCCACCTCTGCCTCTGCACCCAGCGTGCTGAGCACAGCGCTGGCTTATTTTTCCCCTTGGTATTTCTAAACTCCTAATGACTGACTTATTAAGCCTGCAATATCTGGTTAAATTGTGCGTGTCTTTCTGCTGGATCTCATCCTGCGAGGAGGCAAAGCTCCGGGTCTGGACGGGCACACCAGCATCGTGCCGGGACGGCAGCACCGGCGGGCGCTCCCCGGACAAAGGTGCTGAGACCACACAGGTGGGAAATAGCCCAGGGCTGAGCGGGGAGAGACACTTTCCTTCATCCCCTGGCCTGGGAAATCCCTTTTTCCCATTTACAAGGTATGGATTTGAGCCGGGGATGGGCAGGAACACGAGCCAGCACCGAGGATGGCTCTGGACACGGGTTCCAGGGGATGAGAGGGGACCGGCCACGTGCTGACTCCCGGGGCAGGACGGAGAGACCCAAGAGAAGCAAGGCCGTGCCGTACCCCGGCACCGGCACTAACCATGCTGCCATTTCCATTACAAACCGGGCAAAATCCTCCCCGGGTTTTGCACCAAGACAACTGGGGCTGCTTAAACTCACAGATTTGGGTTTCCTTCCTCTTTGTGAATAAAGAAGTGATCCCGCGAGCTCCTCCAGCAGCCGAGATTATCAACAATTTATCAAAAACCACAACGCCGGCCCTTTTCCCTCGCACCGAGCCCTGCCACGCTCTTCCCCCCACCGCCCCCGGCTCTCCGGCAGCGCAGGTTACGGCAGCACAATTGGATCAGCCGGGAATCACTTTGCTTTGCTGGGTCTTTATGCAAGAGCTTCATGCTAATTCGGTTTGATCCTCGTTTGCCGGGGTCCCGGCGGAGCAGCGGCAAGAGTCTGACTGCGGGAGGCAGGCTGGGATGGGGTGCGGGTGCCGGGGGGGGGAGCAGGGATGCTCTCGAAGGGCGACACGAGCTGACAGCCAGATCCCACGGGATGCGGGGACCTGCGCCGGGAGATGCTTGGGCGGGGAGGAAAAAAACGGGCTTAAAGGCTGATAATTAAAGCCCTCCTGTCAGGGTATTAATACCTAAATGCAACCAGAAAATGCATTAGCAGGGATCCCACTGGGGCTGTTGTGCTGTTTTATTTGATAGGTTTAATTAATTTATTGCTCTGCACGCAACTGCTTCCCAACCCGTGGCAAACACACGCGGCCGCATCTTTCTCAAGGGTGGATCTGGAGACAGCCCAAGGTGGCACAGCCGGGCTCGGTGACCCCCACGAGGGCCCAGAATTGACCCCAGATGTCCCCCAGCACCCACCACTTACCTGCCTCGGCTCCCCCGGCAGTCCTGTGCTCTGGCACTCACGGTCCCCAGATCTTGGTGGCCCAGGTCAGTGGCCCAACTTGGCTATTCACAGCCCCACGGGGACCCAGCACCTCTGAGCTCCCCACCATGTGCTCAACCTTCTCCAAACAGAGCAGGAGCCTCTTCCACCATCCTCCTCCTCATGCAGCACAGCTGGGCTCGTGGAGGGGGAGAAAACTCACGCCCACCCACCCAGCCCTGCAGCTGCTCGCTACCCTCGTTAAGGATTTTAATTAGGGATCCACAAGCCCCACAACACTTCGTGGTGTCCCTAATAGGGTGGCACTGTCCTTGCCTAAGTCTGGGTTCACCCACTTTGGGCTCAACCCCAAAACACTGAGGGGACGAGGACCCACAAAGGACCAATTCACCCCCCACCCAGCACCCCCAGTCTGGGACCTTTACTTGCTTCTTCATCCTTCTCCTATATTCATATAAGTGATTGTCCCCATCCCCACCGCAGCCCTGCAATGGGGAAAGGTGCTGCCAAGGGCAGGATGGAGCCGGCGTCACCACGGGATGTGTCACTGCAGGGCACGGCCCCAGATTCCCGAGGGGATGGCACTGCCATGTGCCAGCATCGCCCCTCGTCCTGTCTCAGCACATTCCTGTGCTCCTCTCAGGGCACGAAGCCACAAAAGCCCCAGGGCCACCCCTGCGCTGGGCAGTGAGGGGCACGGGTGGGGAAAGCGGCACTGCGGAGGCTGGCGGAGTTGTATTTATGCCACGTCAGGAGGGAAATAAAAGGCATCTATAAATTATATGATTTCTCCCACCACGCTGGTAACGGGAGTGAGGCGGCTGGCGGTGACAGCCGGAGCCTCCAAAATGCCAAACTGGCTGTGCTGCCTGCCACGACGCCTGTGCCAGGGCCACCGCCGTGTCCCCCCAGCCCGCAGCTCTGCTCCCCTCCGGCCACCCCGGGGTGCTCGGGGCTGCACCCAGCCCCGGGGGGAGCAGCTTCGCTGCGGGGAAGTGAGGCACCCACCACGGCTGAGCTGCAACTTGGCTCTTGAAGCCAGGGCTTCCCGCTGTCCCCCACTGTCCCCACTGTCCCTGCTACCGCAGCCCGGGGACGGCAGGAGGAGGCTGCAGCGCGGGGTCAAGTGATTGATGGGCTGAGCAAAGATGAAGGTCCCCGCCTCATCGCTTCGCCGTGGCGAGGAGCACCCCAGAGCATATTTATGGCTGCCATCCTTTACACACCAGAAGCCGTTACCTCCAGGTACATGCAGTCCCAGCAGCCTTTAGAAGCCGATAAATCGTCGCTTCCGATGTGACAGCGTGGAGAGAGCACGCAGGAGATGGGGACGGTGGCAGGTGCTGGGGACAGGCAGCTCCAGGTCTTCATCCCAAGCCCCGTGTGCATCTCTGGGCGTGATGAGCCCCGTCGCAAAATCACACACCCCAGAGGTGCAGGCGTTGTCCAGCTGCATGCACACGGATGTACACACACACACGCACACCTATACCCACACGGACATGCACGCACACACCCCAACACAGACTTGGTCGGGTGTCCCTTACTTCATCCTCCCTCCCATCATCACTACACGGGAAAACGTGAGCAGTCACAGTGTCCCTTCTCCCTCTCCTCTCCCCCGGGCTCCCCCAGGAGCAGCGGGCAGATGTTTGCTCTATAACAATCTGCATCCTGCTGGATTCAATGATAATATCAACTACCCCGGGCTTTTACCCACAGAGCTCGGAGTTCTCTGGAAATAGGGGTGGATGGAGCCTCTTCACCGCCAGACAGAGGTTTGGGGGGGTCCCATGCAGCGGTCCTGGGATCTCTAAGCCTCACGACAGACAGGGAGGTCACAGAGAATTAGCGGTGGAAGTGGCAGGGGAGATGCTGGCCCTGGGCATGGGCTGTTGGTGGAGGGATGCCAGCGGCTCCTCGGCAGGGCGCTGCCACCGCATGAGCCCACCCAGCTGCAGGGACAAGCTGGGCAGGAGCATCCGTGCTCAGTCGCCCCCAGCAACTGCCCCGGACACCCAGCGCTCACCCCCTCGGGGCATCCCTCTCCCTTTGGGCTGGGTTTTGCAGTCCTTGGGGTGAGACGGGCTGCGTGCGTGGGGAGCGGGTGGTGAAACCCCCAAATCTCCCCTAAAATCCCAGCTCAGGCCCCTCAGGGTGAGTGCTGCCCCCCGCCACCACAGACATGTCTGCCTACACCCCGGGCTGCTTGTCAAGGGGGGTAGCTTTCTTTCACGCGTGTTATTATTTTGGCAGCGCTGGAGTCAAGTAGCTCAATTAAGCAATAACTGCCTCTGTACAGCTGCCCACACAGCCCGCGGTAAATAATTAAACGCTGAAATAATACAGCAGATGGGAAGCAGCACGGAGAGAGATCCGAGAGGAACCTGAACGGCTCCTGCCACGGCAGCAGCTGCACGGGGCCTGGGGTGCTGCCTGCGGCCCCCCGAGCCCCGGCCCCGGCTGAGCGGCTGCAGGAGGGGCGTCCTGCAGATGCCACGCGTGGGCATGGCCGTGGTGTGATGCGCCTCGGGATGGCGTGTTAGTGGAGGGGGTGGGGTGGGGACTGTGGGTATCCCACGGATGGAGAGAGATGGAGACGTCCCTCCCCAGCTGGCATCGGTGGGGACCATCCTGCCTGGCTGTCCCCATGTCCCTGCATGGCAGTGCCAGCTCCCTCCTGCCCGGCTCATCCCCCATCCCTCCCCGCCGCTGCAGCATCCGGACACCAAGCCCCCCAAAATGTTGGAAAACACCTGGAGGGGAAATCCCCCCCTCAAGCCTTGGCTCCCTCCCCGTGTCCCCCTTTCTGAGGAGGTGGCAGAGCCGGCAGAGCCAGCCGAGCGGGAGCAGCGGCGGCACATGGAAAAGCATCATGGAAAATTTTCACCAAGCCCTGCTATTGATCTAGACGCGAAGCACATCCCCAAGCAAGCCTGCCGCTCCACTCGCAGATCATCTGCATTTATCTACTTCAACCAAGTACAGGAGCATCACTGAAAGGCCTAATTACAAGCCGCTGATAGATAAATATTAACGACAAACCCCCAGGAATAAAAATGTGGCTTGGCATTCGGAGGGCTCGGCACAGGAGCCTCGCCTGTGCGTGGTCCAGCCCTGAGAGCCGATGCAGCCGCTCTGCCATCCCGGCCAGAGGCAGCGGTGATGGCCGGCACGGAGCTGGCAGCACCCCGTGCCAGGCTCCCCGGCTGTGCCGGGGCAGAGCTGGCAGTGAGGGCAGCCAAAGCCTTTTCCAAGGGCTCGGCGAGCAATGCGGCCCCGGCACTGCCTGGATCCCACCTACTTCCCGGGAAGCAGAGGGAGCCCTGCGAGCCTCCAGCCCATGGCCAGGGGCCTTAATGAGTCCTTGAAAGTGGCTCCTGCCATCTCTGGAGGGCTGGCAGCATTTCTACAAGAAGCTGGTTGTGGGTCAGTGGCCACAGGCTGTTGTTTTATTATGATCTCTGAGGGCACCGGTTCCCACGAGGCAGCCGGAGCATCCTCTCCATATTCACATTTCCATCACATCCTCCTCAGACAGCACCGGCTCCACTCCTCCATCTGCTTAAATGCCACCTCCAGAAGGGATTGGCTTGAAACATCTTCTCCCCTCGTCATTTGTTTCCCATCCTCATCTTAAGGATTTGCCCGCTTGATCCTTGGAGTTCAGGAGGGCTTTATGGGACCCAGGAGTGAGGTAAAATGTGTCTACCTGGAGCCGGGGCAGGGCATGGCCTCAAAACCTCCAGGGGCTGCTTCAGGCTGGTCCCACCAGAGCTCCCACGCCGTGTCCCCGCAGCCTGGCTTGCCCAGGCATGTGCAGCCAGGCGGGCACAGGCACCTCTGCAACAAGGGGAGAAGAACAAAGTCCCATTTCTTAATGCAAACGGTGCCTCTTTGGGTCCGTAACAGCTCATCCCGGGACAAGGCTGCGGTGTCCAACCCTAGATGTCACCCGCGTGGGGACAGCTCTAGGGACGGTTCTGCTCCAGGCTCACAGCCAGGAACAGTTTCGCTGCTGCTTATTTTCCAAGCGTGAATTGAATCTCAGCTGACAACAAGCTTTTCTGCAAGATCTACCTGGCCCAGCGTCTGGCAAATCAGATCAGTAAAATGACCCCAGGAGACATCCGCCAGATCTTCATCTCCTCGATTATCAGCTCCCGGCCAATTTTGAAACAGCCCCGGCACAGAGCTCCGAGCCACTCTTGGAACTTAATCTCACGCCCAGCCCAGCCCAGCCCTGTGGAGCAAAATGGGATGAACTGGGGTGAACTGGGCTGCTTTAGCTGTCTCTTTGGGTGCGGCTGGAGATGCGCACACATGCAGACGAGCTCCCCGCTGCACACACAACCTGTGGCTCTGCTGCCAGCTCTGATGGCCGGGGGGTTGGCGGGGGGGGGGGGGGGGGGCGGGTGTCTGTCCCTTGGCAAAACCCCCTGTGTCACCTCCCCGGCCTCACACCACTCGCCTTTGGGGACCACGCCGACACACGGCCCCCCCGCACCCTGCTCCCCCACTGCCTCTTGCCAGGAGGGTGGCGGTGGCTGTTGGGGGGGGGACACCCGGCGCAGCTGTTGCTGGCAGGGGATGTGACAGGGTGTTACAGCCCGTACCCCCACTGGCATACTGTCTGGGAGCAGTTTTGTTGTTTTTTTGGGTTGTTTTTTTTTTTTTTTTTTCCCCAGGAGCTGCTGAATAATTTGCATCCGCCAAGACGCAGCTTCTGGGCCGTGTTTGTCAAAGCCAATCTGCAGCTCGCTGCCTCCGGAGATTTGAATGTGATAACGGCATCAAGCCTAAACGACATGCACCGTGATTGCGCCGGCGCTGCCCGGCCCCCCCACCAGCCCCCCCCCCAGCCAGCCCCAAGCTGGCCAGGTGCTGGGGACCTTCTGGCCATCCCACTACAGCCCCCATCGCCCTCAACCCCAAGGCTGCAAATTCTTGGGTTCCGCCAAGGAGAGAGACACCAGCTTGGGGGGTGCCACAGTCTCGAGGTTTCCACAGCCCCCCCGGTCCCTGCTCCTGGCCGAGGGCCATCGCTGGGACACGCTGCAGCGCTCGATGAGAAGCACCATGGAGGCTAAATGCCATTTCCAAGCAGCAAGTGCAGGAGCATCACCCCCAGCTGCAGCATCAGCCCTTGTGCGCCTGCCCAGGGTCCATGTCACGAGCTGGCGGTGCTCAGCTCCCACCTCACCTTCCCTCCCCGGCGCCAGGGACGGACGCTCCAGGACGTTCCCCCTGTGACAGCCGCCGATCCCGCGCTAGACTCGTGTTGGCTCGGGGACCGGCTTTGTTCCCCGCACAAAGGGAGCTGCCAGGGAAGAGGCGACGGCGCAGGCAGAGGGAGTGGGGCTCTCTGCAGCGCGGGAGGAGGATGGGGCTTGTCACAGCCCTGCCAGGCACGGTGACACTGGGCTGAGCCTCAAGCAGAGGGGGAGAGGGGGAAGAGCTGGAACTCAGATCTTGCAAAGGGGCTCAGCCTCACCCCAAGGCCATCACCGGTCCTCGCCGAGCACAAAAACGCACCAAAAGTCTTTTTTATGGGGTTCATGTGCTCATGCCCCTCCTCGGTCTGTGCCCTTGGAGAGGAACCAGGCAGCAGGGCCAGGCTGGGCTGTGAGACATGGGGACACAGTGGGGGTGGCACCAGAGCTGCCGAAGCCCGGCTGAGGTGGAGCTGGGAGCATCTCCATCTCTCCCAGTGCACCGCAGGTCTCCGCAGCACCCTGCCAGACCCTGCCGGGGCACCCCGGGCACCCCAGGGACCCCAGGGCACAGGCTCTGCAGGCAGGGACCCGCCAGCCCCGCTCCCGCCACGCTGCCCTCCCATCCCTCTGCTTCACCCGTCACCAGTAACAGCCATTTACAACCCCAAACCAGGGCACTGGGACGCCCACCCGCCCCTCGCTCGCCTCCCGGCACGCACCAGCCCCACTAAATCCCAGCGAATGTCTCCTGGGATTTGCAGTGAGCCGGCTGGATCCAGGCATTCCATCAACGTCCTCCAGCAAGGCCTCCCCTTCACTTCAAAAGTTCCCAATTCAAGGGGAGTGGGGGTTGTTCTCACTTTTATGTGCTATCTATAGTCCCCTCTATACCTCTATATATAGATTATATATCTCCTAGCTAATCTCTTTGCAATCATAAAACCATTAAATTAATTAACCAAGGGAAAGAGAGGAAAGGCTGGATGCCCCCCGAAGAACAGATGATCGTTTTACATTTATTTATACCAGAATTAAAGGCAGGCCGGCCCCAGCGCTGCCAGTCCCCAGGCTGCTCCAGCCACACAGAGCGGAGCCACGAGGCCACCGCGATGGGCCCCACAAGCTGAGCCGGCACCGCAGCCCCCGGCTCGCCTTCCTATTTTACAGGTGGGGAAATGAAGCGCGAAAAGAGCTGGAGGTGGTGAAGACATGCAAGACCTACAGCTCCCGCAGCACTGTCAGCATCTCCGTGCCAGATCCGGAGCCGGGGAGGGAGAGGAGTGGGGGGGGGGGGGGGGGTGTGCCGAACCCCGCGCCGGCCCCCGCTTCCTCCCCACGCAGCCCCGGAGCGGCTGCTCCCACCTCGCAGGCGTGCGAGAAATCCACGCTTCTTCGGCGAGAAATCCACGCTTGGGCGCGGGGCGGGAAGGGAGGGTGTGAAGTGGCGATAAACCGGCAGCGACTGCCAGCAGCAGCCGGCGGCGAGGGAGCTGCAGCAGCCGGCGTGAGCAGCCGCGGGCGCTGGAGGTCTGGCCCCAGCCCCTGGTTTTGAGGGAAAGCTCAGCGTGGGCTGATAACCGCCCATTTGCAACCGAATGCAACCCCCCAGCTCCTTTGCTTGAGGTCGAGAAACGTCATTGCCCGGAGCTGGGAATGCCTGGAGGTTTCCCGACGGATTTGGTCTCAACCACTGGGTTCAGACACGGTGGGAGAAGGGTGACACCAGGGTGAGCACCCAGGGAAGGAGACCACAAAGCACCCAGGGCTGCTTCCCGCCCCAGCCGGCATACCGGGACCGGGGATGCTTCCCCCTCCGCCAGCTCGGAGGCTGATTGATCGGCTGTCTGCCTGCAATCCCCAGCCGTCACTCAGCCTCTAATCCGCAGCCCTGATGCATTCTCCTCACTGACAACGGGCTGACATGGTTTTCGTTGCATTTAATCAGTTCTTTAAATTTAATGCCCCCATCGGCAGCATCTGCATTGGCCACTCGACAGTGCCCGCGGGGTGCTGCAGAGGTAGAGACCAGCAGGCGGGATGAAATCCCTCACTGGAATTTTAAGGACCGGGCCAGCAGCATGAAGCTGCTTTCGGCATCCAGATGTCTCGGCAAAGGGACACCGTCCAAAACCCAGCTCAGCTCCCAGCACTTCCCAGCTCTCCTCTTCCTCCCATCGCACCGGCCGGGAGCAGCTCAGAAATCACCCGGGTGATTGAAGCCTTGTACAGTGCCATGTGTCCCCTGGCTCTGGTGACATCCCCCCCTCCACCGTCACCTCCCCACTGCCCTGGCTGCAAACCCCACCGGCACACACGTCCCTGCCAACAGCAGTGCAGCCCCGCGGTGACCCCAGGTGAAGGGGACACAAATGCACCCCAAAAACTGTCGCGCACAGTGCCGAGCCCCTGGCAGAGCATCGGCCCCAGCCACGTGTGCCCTCTCCCCGTTCACACGCATTCAGGGGGGACCATCAGGTCCTTCAGTGGCTCCAGTTTCCCACCAGCCTCCTGGGAAGCTGGTGGAGCTGGTGCGAGGCCACGGCACTGCTGCGCTGGCACCGGCACCAGTGCAGCGCCCGCAGCCCGGCTCCACGGCACGTCGCTGGCACCAGCCCCAGCCCAACGGGGCTACCTGGGCTCATCGGGCTGGCGAGGGGCTGCAAAGGGCTCCCACAGCCCTCAGAGGAGGAGGGGGAGAAGAGGAGGAGGAGGAGGGGGAGAAGAGGAGGAGGAGGGGGAGAAGAGGAGGAGGAGGGGGAGAAGAGGAGGAGGAGGGGGAGAAGAGGAGGAGGAGGGGGAGAAGGAGAGTTTTTGCTCACCTGATTCCCAGTGATATGAAGTCGAGACATACGCTGTGCTGGAGCTTGGGTGTAGCTATGAGCGGTGGCCCCAGAAACGCCACAGCCCCCAGGGTGGTGGCCCCAGGGTGTGACAGCATCCACACCCCTCCATCGCCCAGGACACAGCCCCCTCCCCCCCCCACTCCAGACCAGTGGATCCCCAGGAGCCCCTCAGAGCGACCCCAGTGGTGCTTGGGCAGTGGGAACCCTGGACCCAGGCAGCCAAAGCCGAGCGCTGAGGGCAGTGGGGGGCGGTGGGCTTCCCTCCACCCGAAACACGTGGGAAATGACAGCAATGGAAAGCCCATCGAGGTTTTGGGGCTGACCTGCAGCAAAGGCAGCTCAGCTGCCAAAAGAGCCGGCTGCTGGAAGCGCCCAGGGATGAGCCCAGGGATGCAGACAGGGCTGGTCCCGAGGATGGAGCAGCTTCCCTGGGGGGCTGGGGGCTGCTGGGGTGCAGCCGGGGGGTCCTACCACCCCTGGCAAAGGGCACGGTGTCCACACGGAGCACGCAGGACCGGTGCCAGCAGAGTGGGAGACGCCCAGCAGGCAGCAATGCCCACGTGTCCTGGGTTGGAGCGAGTGGTGGGGTTTTTGGGGTAGCAGGGGAGGGGGGCGTGGTGGGGTTCCTCCCTCCCCAGCACCCTCCCAGGTGCCAAATCCTGCCCGACACCAGGGCAGCGGCTGGCAGCCCCCTCCCACTCACCGTGCTGCAGAGACCTGGGGAATTAGGAGACAGGAGAGATTTTCCTCCCTTCACCTTTCTTTGTACTTTTATGCTAATGGCAATAATAGGAATTAAACATCTCCTGTGCAGCAGAACAAAGGCCTCTATTGAGAGGAGATCAGTGTGACCGAGACTGACGGCGCGCTGCCAGCAACACAGCAGCCGGATAAAGAGCCCTGGAGCAGGAGTGGGGGGCAGTGGGTTGGGGAGCACCCTGCACCCCTCAAGCCATTCCCCATCCCCAGGGCTGGGGTTTATCCGCCACGGACGCGCCGCAGCCACGCTGCCACGAGCCCTCAGCCATAGCAAAAAGCTTTTGGATGCAATCTCCCCAGCGTTTTGCCAGCTGGCCGGAGCCGGAGCATGCCTGCACACACGTACCCAGGCAGCAGCCCCTCATCTGCTCGGGGGCCAGGCAGCCCCCTCCAGCCCCCCCCTTCTCCTGCCAGAGCCCGCGGGCAGCGCTCGCTCCGGCCCTCACATGCTGCGGTCCGTGCTGCGCGGGGCGAGAGCGGCTGCGGGAAGGCGATCGCCTGGGATGCTCCAGCCTGCCCTACATTCTTCCTAAATATAGCCAGCCAGGCGCTGCCATTTCACCCGCCGGAGCTGGCTCGGGAGAGGCTCAGCACAACGCCTGCCCCCAGTTTGGTCCAGTTCACCTTGCTGTGGGATGCTGAAATCCCCTCGTCTCCCCCATCCCCATGCCGCCCTCGAAACCCTCGGCAGCGGTGGCTGAGTGTGGGGTTGAGGGGCTGGTGGCACCCAAGGGAGGCAGCCAGATGGGCCTAATCCCTGCAACTGCCCTTCCCCCCCCACCCCCCCCCATGGGAAGCCAACCCCAAAATAGATGGGAACACGCTTCCCTCGCCCCGGCGGCGGAGGGGGTGGCGAGCCGGCACCGTGCCGCTGACAGCCGCGTCGGCCGGGCGGCAGAGGAGGATGACAAGGCAGAGCAGAGCTCGCCACGCACGCCCGCTCTCACCTTCTGCCTCCCAAACTGCCAGAGAAATACAGAGGCTGTGCCGGGGCTGAGCCGCGCCGGCGGGCAGGGAGAGCACGGGAGAAGGGCTCGTCCCCAGCTCCACATGTCCCCAGATGCCTCCTGTCCCCAACAGCTGGCAAAGGAACAAGATGATGGGAGCGTGACCACACGCTGCAGTGGTTGCAGAGGATCCCTGGCCAGATTTTGGGCTTTCTTCTGCCCGCAGGCAACCATTTGCTGCTGGCAGAGCCGGGCCTGATGCACAACCTGGGGCCCGTTTGCTCCTCGCCGGCTGCTTTGCTCAGGGCTCTGCACCTCCGGGTCCTGCAGCAGCCGGTGGAGACCCGCCCTGTGCTGCAGGGGCCCGGAGGGCTGCATTCGTGCTGCATCCCAGCTTCCAAAACAGGTTCCCAGCTCAAAGGCAGTTGCTGTCCTGGATTTTTAGCTCATCCTCTCCATTTGTCCCGAAGAACCAGAGAACAGCCTCTCCCCACTTCGTGCTGGGCTCTCAGCCACCCTGTTCCCCCCGCTCGTCGCGGGGCAGGGAGCAGGGCAGGCACA